TTTCTTCCGGGAAAATATGTCTCAAAAATCTTATTGGTTTACTGGAGATCGTCTACTGATGTAATTCAACCACTCGCGTTCGAGATTATTCAAAATATCCCTCGCTAGTTCATTCTGGCCATTCTGACTCACCAGTACGTAGGGTTTTAAAGGCAGTTTCGTGCATCAATTATGCGCTGCAGCTAGCATGATGCTTCCAAAATCTTATCATTTATGACAGAAGTTTCAAATAAGACAGAAATCCATCATAATCGCGGGGATAAGAGGCACTGGGCGGACCCAATACCCATCCGATGGTATTGATGATGTGGGCTCTTAGCCCAACTTATACGTTGTTTAAATTTATCAATTTTACAATTTTTGTTTAACGCAAGCCGCGCGAATAAAATCACTTTCAAATCTGACGGCGTGCTGCTCGCTGGCTTTTTTGCTAACAACACTCCACAGCTCAAATTATTCTATCCTCACCTGCCGCTGTTCCTTCAACGGCACCATTCTCTGGTGATCATTCCCTGGCTCAGGAGAATCCAACAGCGATATACAGACGAGATTTCTCTCAAATCTCCCAATTGCGACCCGATGAACTAGATCCCGGTTTTCACGAAGTCATCCTTTGACAAGTCGAATTCTTGGCTACTGCTGGCAAGGATCGTGGAGGATCTAAGTGAGTTGTATCATTTCTTAATCCTCATTATCATCCTCGTATACCGTTTTTACACCTTTTTCACTAGAACAGTCTGGTAAATTACCCACTAGTATTTAACCTACTCTAGAAAGTTTTCCGTTACGTTTTTGCTAAGACGTTTTATATATTTTTAGTGATTAATCCTCTACAATGAGGGAAATAAGCGTGAGCCAGAAGTCAACGAATATTCACCGATGGACGAACTAAGAGATAAGTTACAGCAACAAGTATAAAATTTATGCTTCTCTCATTTATTATGCTATGTGGACCACCTATAAAACTGAGGGTGAGCGCTTCATGGGGCTGAAAGGAAAAATTTGTTCTTTTGATCTATTCGCAGGAGCACGAAGTAATCTGAGAGGTCTTGTACTTAAACAGCGTCCTGCATTAATCTCGAGTCAGTCTTAACATATTTTGCTTGCTTAGTTGTACATGGTTGTGATGGCAAAATCGAGTTAAATCACAAGAACGTTTCTTGATTAGACTTTCGCTAGTTTCAAAACATCGCAAAATATTTTGCCTTTAACTAACCCACAATATTCAAATGCGACGTTCTTACACCATTACTATGAGAAATAAGTTCAATACTCCTCTCTAATCATTATCATCGTACATTTTAATGGCGGTCTTTTAACCCGTCTGTGTTCACCTAAACTTATGACGTCTTTTATCTACATCATGCTTATAACGCTTTGGGGACTCAAAGTTGATTCTCGTCGGAGCTGCCGAAAGTCTTGATCTCAGCTAATTCAGCTGGATTTTCCCGTGAGCAGTGCACCTATTTGAATTAACCCATTAATTCCATCAGACGAGCTAAGCGCTGCACAACTGGGGTATGTCATTGAATGTGTATGTCAGCCCAATAATGAACAGCGTGTGTCCCCTGCACCTTGAAAATTATGATTAAGATACTGCGATCTTTGATAATACGGCCAAATAAGGTACCACACTTCTCATAATGTAAGCCATAGCCAGTTGAGTACATTTTAAAGTTTCAGGCGGATAGAGCATTTGAGGGCAGGTGCGTATCGGTCAACAGTACTGTACTCAAGCCCAACAATTTTAAATTTCTGTGCTCTGACCTGATTTGGTAGATGTCAGTGGGAACTAGCACTTTATTTCCACTTTGCTGCATGTAGCATAGGGGACGGTGTCAAACTTAAGCCATCGCAGTGCGTTGCTCGGATGGCTTGAAAAGAAAAAGCAGCGGGTTTAACCTTAACTATCTAGCATAGGTTTGCTGCCGAGTAAAAACCAAACAAAATCTTCATGTAATTTGTTAAGCAGCAACAAGCTGCAAAAATAGCACCAGAGTTTGTACTTACAGTTGCAAATTCGTCAGTGATTGGGCCGCATAAATTTATGATTATGAGAACTATGCACAAACTCTGAACTGATCGTATCCCAAATTCAATTAAACGAATGTCCAGATCCATTTAGTAAGAGACAAATCAAATGCAGACATTATCCCGTCGTACGCATTATTATTCATCGAGCGCGCAATATGTCCACCTTAGTATAAAATATACCAATAGTTGTGAATGTGAATAATTACCCTTGTGGTACTAATTTTTCCCTATTTTAGATAAACCAGGCAGCCGACTATTTACCGCTGGCGCAAAGCACCCAGAAGAGAGTACTACTGGAGGCCACAATGAACTAGAGCTTTTAGAGGCTTTGTATCCAAACCCTGCATCCGAAATAATAAGATACTTGGAAAAAGTCTATGCAGTCCATTTGCCCTTCTAGACAGAAAAAATAGGCAAATGCCTGAAATCGCTTTATATCGAGCTAACTGTTGGAATTATAGTGTGTAGCTGTTTTCCTGCAGTGTACTATGATGATTTTATCTACATTTTTATATACTGGTCTGCTTTTCACCCCTTTGGGGCAATGAATGTCCTCTAAAATTACAATCATTGTTTCCCTATCCTCTTGAATCTTCTGCTTAGGCTCACAGTGTTTGTTGCCTTAGTATTTAAAGCTTCAGAGTTCTGGGTCTCGAGGCCTGCGCTAGTAGCCCTCACAGCAACGAATTAGTGATTCACGGATAAATTCATAAGCATAAAATCAATACGGCCAGTATAGTTTACATCCACACACAATAACATCATGACGTAAAATTCCCGAAGATAGGTAGCCAAATTGAGTTTGTTTTAAACCACCGAAAGTAATAAGAGGAAAAAGTGCGGCGAATTCAGATAGGCCGAGAAGTTTGACGGCGATAGCTATATAGTCGAACCTTAAGGCATACCTGAGCTTAGCTGTAAGCATTCTGACTATTTATAGACTAGTAGAAGCCCAAAGACCCCGTTTCTTAGACGT